TGCTAGTTTTAGCTTTTAGCTATTGTCTTGCTAGTTTTTGCTTTTAGAAATTTTCTCACGAGTTTTAGATTTTAGCTATTGTCTTGCTAGTTTTAGCTTTTAGCTATTGTCCTGATAGTTTTAGCTTTTAGCTATTTTCTCACTAGTTTTAGCTTTTAGCTACTGTCTTGCTAATTTTAGTGTTTAGCAATTTTCTCACTAGTTTTAGCTTTTAGCTACTGTTTAGCTAGTTTTAGCTTTTAGCTATTTTCTCACTAGTTTTAGCTTTTAGCTATTGTCTTGCTAGTTTTAGCTTTCAGCGACTGTCTAGCTAGTTTTAGCTTTTAGCTACTGTCTTGCTAGTTTTAGCTTTTAGCTATTTTCTCGCTAGTTTTAGATTTTAGCTATTGTCTTGCTAGTTTTAGCTTTTAGCTCTTGTCCTGCTGGTTTTAGCTTTTAGCTATTTTCTCACTAGTTTAAGCATTTAGCTACTGTCTTGCTATTTTTAGCTTTTAGCTACAGTCTTGTTTGTTTTAGTATTTAGCTATAGTCTTGCTAGTTTTAGCTTTTAATTATGATTTTACAACATTTAGCTTTCATCAACTGTTTTGTGAATTTAAGCTTTATAAAAGTTTTGCTGAATTCAGCGTTTAACTACAGCTTTTCTTTTAACTTTTAGCTACAACTTGGCCAATTTTAGCTTTTTATTAGAACTTTTAGCTACAGTTTTTATGGTTTCAGCTTCTATTTTCTTGTTTTGACAAACAAATCTTGAATCAATTTTAGCTCTTGTTAAGTTTTGAATTTTGCAAAAAAAACAGCTTTTTCTTTTGTTTTTGTTTATTTTATGCAAATAAAAGCACAAACAACAGATTTATTACTCTCAGTTCTAAATGTTTCATGTTGTATTTATGATCTACTTCATTATTCTGAAACGTTCAGGACATTTCTAACAGGTGTCCGTCGTATCAGAGATTAATTTAAATGAACAAGAACAACAAGTTGTGTTAGTCTGCGTGAATATTTGATCAAACTGAAGAGGCCCGGGCGGACCGGAGCAGCGGGCGGACACCGTCACCACGTGATCCTGTAAGACGGGTGGAGTCGTGGACATCTGCTAACAGACAGAGACGAGCAAAGACATGATCCCCCGCTCGTCCTGGACAGGTGTTGAATCAGGTGCAGCCCGACGATAAAAGAACCGGAGCAAACGTGCGTGTGGGAAATGCTCGGGCGGTTAAATCGAGCGTAGATTCTGTTTGTGGTCTAAAATCGATAAAAACAGTCCGACGTCTCTGACGGGCGACGCGATGCGAGAAATCTAATTGATTTTGATTTTCTATTCAGGTTCACCAGGATCTGAATCTCTTGTATCGACGGCTGAACGTCGCCTGGTCCCCAACACGTTGCCTCAAACGCCCGGTCTTTGCAGCCTGCCGGTGGAGTCCACGGGTCCGCGGCAGCATGAGATGGATGGTGATGACATTAAAGCTGGGTTGGATCACAGAAGCGGCACCGGGCGGCCGTTCTTCACTTCTTACACTCCTTCAGTAAAAACATGAAACTTCCTCAGTCTCAGGAGGAAACTGTTCCTGTTTTATGTTAATGGAAACTGCAGATTCCTACGGTTTTAGTCTTCTGGGACTCAAACTGAGGAGTTATTAAAGAACAGCTCTGGATTTGTGTAAGCCACATGTATTTTACTTTAAATTCATTTTACTGCAGCGGTTCTAGAACTGCGCCGCTCGGGGTGGCTGCATGTCGGAGCAGCTCTACTTTCATTCTGAGATTTTGCTTTTGGAAACTTTAATTCCTCTTTTTCTGGATGTAAATCACATTTTTTGACGATTGTTTCCTCTGGTATCGGATGCTGTGCAGAAACCTTTTTACTTTTGTACTTGTTATTTGTACAAATACTTTGTATTTGTTATGATGCGTAACAACAATGTGGGTTTTTTTTTTGTTTTTACAACCAACAGCAGCTGATCAACATCTCAAAAGCTCAAATAATTTCTCAACTACAGCCCCGAATCGCAAATGAGTTGAAAAGGAGGCTCTGTGGATGCATTTCTGTCTACCCGCCAGCTGTGCTCGAGTGCCCGACCACTGAGATCTTAAGATTTCCTAAGGAGATCCTGGAACTGGCAGGGAACACGGCTCGTGACAGCAGAAGGACAGGATCGTCCCTCAGCACCTACAGTTGGCTGTCCGCAGCGACGAGGAGCTCGGCAGCTGCTGGGAGGAGTGGCCATCGGTCTGGGAGGAGTTCTGCTGGCATTCGGGCGGTTCTGCAGCCCAGGGGAACCAAGAGGCCAGCCGAGACTGGGTGGACGGATCGGACGGCATCTGCAGCCAGTTTCTTAGGATCCACTGTGGGACGGACCTTTACAAGAGATCCTTCCTGCCTACAATCATCAGCATCTATAACATCTCTTAATGAAACGAGGATAACGAGTTACAACATTTAATTTCCCTCTAGGATTAATAAAGTATTTTTGAATTGAATTGAACACGTTCACTCGAGTGAATAAGCTCCTCAGCCTTAACTCCTTGCATCACTCAGCTGTGACGGTTGACGATCGGTTAGTAAACGGCGTCTACGTCTCCAAACAGTTTCGAAAGGTTCACAAGGTTTTCCCAAGTTCCTCATGTGAGTCGTAGGGGTTCACGGTCCCGTCTCTTCGCTCCTGAACATGTTAAATTAGCTTGCAACAAATTTTCTCTTGAAAACTTGTAGAGCTGTCGTTGGTGTCTCAAACTGGTTTCAATGTAGTTTCCATAAATGCTGAAGCTGAGAGAGAAGGATGGAGAAGATCAGGAATGAGATCAGAGGTACAGCACAGGTTGAACACCTGGGAGATGAAGTTAGAGAGGACACACTGAGATGGTTTGGACATGTCCAGAGGAGGGAAAGTGGTTTGGACTTGTCCAGAGGAGGGACAGTGGTTTGGACATGTCCAGAGGAGGGAAAGTGGTTTGGACTTGTCCAGAGGAGGGACAGTGGTTTGGACATGTCCAGAGGAGGGACAGTGGTTTGGACATGTCCAGAGGAGGGACAGTGGTTTGGACTTGTCCAGAGGAGGGACAGTGGTTTGGACATGTCCAGAGGAGGGACAG